GGCGGGCTGCGGTTCCTGCCCCGCCTCAGCGGGGGTGGTTTGCTGGTGTTACTACGAATCGCAAACTTCATCGGGTTAAATAGACTACTGTAGAGACTAAGTAACAACAATAAAAGTTTTTTTTTTTTAATTTGATTAAGTACTGAGGCATAAGAGTTTTCCCTCTTGTATCTTCCCAATCAGCAATGTCAAAAAAATAGGACAAATCTTTAATCACAGATCTTATGAGTCCGTTTATCATCAGTGATGACTCTTGTAATACTGAAAGACGTTTTTGGTAATACAGTTACTTTCTTTCTTTAGTATTCCAGTATTTGATGTTTAGTTTCTCTGGATACACTCTGCATGCCTATTTTTTCTGGGAAATAATAAAACAATCTAAAAAAGTCAGACACTGCGCACCTTGCTGATATTTTGGAAATGGAATCTATATAGTCTGGTAGGAACAGAGTCATTTTTCTGCGAGGAGCATAGCCTGGGTGGGAGGCTTTACATTAGCTTCCTTAATATGTTCTTTGCTGCAGATTAAGGGAACGCTGCCTTGCATCCTGGTAGTCCAGCAGGCTAGCAGGCTTCCTGGTTCATCCCACTGCTTTCCTCCCTGCCCTTCCCCTAGCTGGAGGTACTGCTTGGATCTGGTAGGTTCAGTACATCAGCTGCTGTGCTGCACAAAGATGGTTATGCTGATCCTGTCTTGACCATCTGGCTAGAACTAAAGTTATCTCTCAGGCTTATAAAATTCGGCCATGGCTGTTACAGAAAAGGATGCACTTCCCTCCTTGCCTCTTGCAAGCCTTTTCTGGGTTTTGCAGTCACCTGGTCTTTGTCTTTTCAGTTAGAGGATTAGGCCTGGATCTTGGTTTCCCGGGCTCTGTTTTGACTGCTGGAATGTTTCTGTGCAGCTTTAGTCAAGCAACTTCCATTCCGTGCTTCTTTATCAAATAAATTAAGACAACTTTCATCTACGTCGAAGTGAGTCATAAAGTTTAGTGAAAGTTGTAAAGCGCTTTCCACTGCTGGAATGCTAGATGTTAAAGAAAGCAGAGTACCTGGGCTATCCAGCCCGCCTGCCTGCATGCTTTCCTTAGCTGTGGGGAGCCCTTACTTCAACCCATTTGCTAGTTTGGTCTTCTGTTTCCTGTGGGCTGGTGAGTTGGTCCTAGCCCTGTTCGCTCATTCAGCTTTATGTTTAACAGTGGGGGGACAGCTAAGGTGGCAGGGGCAGAGGTGTCAGTGTTGCCAGTAATCACAGTACTTAGGTCCAAGTGCAAGAAAAGACCTTGAAAATTTCTAATTGATTTGATTTGATGTAATGTACCTGACAATAAGGATTGCTCTGCAGTGGTGCTAGCTATGGTGGTCTGCGCTTGTGGTGCTGTATCCTACCTTAAGCATGGGAAATCTGGAAAACATCTTGTTTAGAAACGATTATTATGCTATACTAGGCTGTTAGACAAACATTTGCAGACCGTTAGCCTAAAGCATGTCTCTACCGTATTTTTAAAAGTGGCCTGCACTGAAAATCCAGCTTTCTTGTAGGAATGCAGAGTAGCGGCTTAATTATCCTTGTACAGGCCTTGTACAGGGCTTAGGGCATTTTTGTGTATGCAAATTCCTGAATATGGTTTAATTTAATGAATTCACTGTAATACCATTGTCTCAGTCCTTTCCAGCAGGGCAAACTAGCTTGCGCTGAAAGCGTATATGGTTTTCCTGCGAGACAGTTGGGTGGTTCTGGTCTGCGCAAGACCTGTTTCTGCCTGGCTTCAAGGTGTAACAGTATTTAGAGTGTATGGGATGACTACCTAAATGCAACAAATTGCTTTTATTCCAGGCATTAAGCTTCGTCCCTATCAAGTAGAAGGTGTAAAGTGGCTGGTGCAGTGCTATGAAGTCCAGCATGGCTGCATCCTGGGTGATGAGATGGGTCTTGGGAAGACTTGTCAGGTGCGTGGCAGTGGTGGTGTTTTTCTTCTGGAGAATCAGCTTTGCTCTCTGTTTTTGTTTGTTTGTTTGTTTGTTTAGTCCCAATGCTTCTGCAAGATGAGGAAAAAAAGCACCCTAACAATTGATCAGTTAGGCGACCAAGTCCTAAAGTCCTTACTCAAAATACAACTCTTTGTTTCTTTTATTCCTTATTCATTTAAAACCTGTTAGGTCCTGAGTAATGCTCTGAAAGGGTTTCAGGGTTTTGTAAAAAGGTGAATGGTGATTTTAAAGAGACTTCTCAGTGTATAGTTCAGAGTATGTGGAGTTGAAGGGTGTGGTGTTGCGCCAAGGGTTTTTTTGAATGTTTCTTAACTTAAGGGGGGGCTGTAAAAGAGCAAGGACTCCAGGTGTAGCATGGCCACAAGCAGTAAGCATTTATTATTCACTCTTAGATTAATCTCTTGGCCTAATTAGCTATAGCCAGGCACTGCGTATTACTCTATGCGCCTTTGGGTTTGCAGCTGAGTTGCAAATGAA